TTAGTTAACTGCCACAATGACAAATATGAACTATAAAAATGAAATTTTTTCTCTAATATTGTTCGTCATTACTTATCATTTGAAGTCAGTTTGTTGTTTTCCTAAGTGTTACTTCATCAGCATTGACTTGTTTTGTTTCTCTTGGGTTAATTTTGCCTATAGTCCCGGAAAACAAGCGACAGAAACTTCTTTAGTCCTCCATTGCTCGTATGCAGTTCGTTGTATTCCTCCTTCAACGCCTTGTACACGCAATTATGTCATTGACGAGTCATAAGCAATAAACAATAACTCTTGCGTGCCTAGTTCTCAATCAATGAATTTATTTCGTCCATCGTTGGCAATTTACTTTTCGTCAGGGTTTTCTTCTGACAACATAGCCCGATATTTTTGGGATCGACATTGGGCAACTATTGTTTTTAGAACACTGGAATGATATCATGTCTGGACCTCACTTAAAATCCAAGAGAACGTACAGTCAGCCGTGATTTTCATCACCTGCCTGGTGTCGACATGTCAGCCGCTTCATCTCTGAAGTTTTTGTCCTATAGAAGTGTACATGTATATTCAACCTGCAAGTGATGGTAGTTGTTCCATTAATAAAGACTATTAATTAAATAGCTTTTATCACATATCTCCTATGTCCTCAAAAGCTTCATAAACAGCTGAGGTTGTGGCAGCACCGGTTCTTGATTACATCTTTGGAGCAAAAAATAGTTCATCAACTTCGTTGCAATATTCAGAGTCGATCTACGGTTCCTTCTCTAGTATATCTTGCATTAACTTTCCGCCCCTGTATTTAATGATAACTGTGGGGGTGACGTCAGTTTTGTGCAATATTCTGCCAATGTTTGACTCGCTCCTGACGGATGAATGATTGGCTGACTTATTATTCAACATCACGGCCCAGCTCATTACGGTCCAGCTCATCCAGCTCAATACACAAGCCTATTTTTGGGAAATTATCTTCTAAATTCAAGTATTTTAAAGCTTGATAAGAAGTCTAAGATATTTTCCGATCTACGGTACATGAAATTTTTACTGATTTTTGTCATAAAAAGGAACCAAATGAGACACGGTAATTTCTGCTGGTTCGCGAAAACAGAAAAGTTGGGAACCACTGTTCGAAGTAAGGGTACGTATTTCAGGCAGCATAATTCATTAACCTCTGTGAATTTTTTTAGATTCATCCTCTTGCCGAAGAAGGATAAAACAAATCAATGTTCTTATTATTTATTACCGCGTTGATTTAAAGCTAGAGAATTATTGGAAAACTCGACGTGAGCCTGTTGAATCTACTATCGCGAAAGCTTATATGATACAAAAAAATTTGTTTTCAATGTATCCTTGTATCAACTGTCCATGCTGCGATTAAAATACTACATAATATAACGGTATTGATGAGAGATATCACGAGGTGAGATAAGGGGTCGTCTCGAGCAGCTCGACGAGATAAGCGACCATGAAACTTATAGAAGCTCGCCCTGCGGATCTCGTGTTGCTGCCATGCGTCAGTTGCGTCACGTCATCATTGATATTTGATATGCCAATGGCTTACCGTTATTGCCTGTTTGCAGGCCCAACTTATATCGATGAATGGCATTACTATTTTTAACTTTCTCAGTGGGTATATCATTATTGTTTTAGACACTACATCGCTCTGTTGAGGATCACTGCCCCGCAATGTTGAGTATCACGGGCGCTGCTGTTGCGGGCGGCATTGTAGCGGGCCAACTTTTGGCCGCGCTTCTAAAGGCCCGTTCACACTAGTGGCAACTACAATAATTACGACGTACGCTTTGAGTCGTTTGCTGCAGTGCCTCACCGCGCACAACCGTTCACAGTTCACACTACGTTTGTAAGCGATAGCTCCAGACCGCGCGCTTTGAACAGTAGTTGCCACCTAGACCTAAATAAAAAGTTACAATATTCGTACCAATGTTATATCATTCTTTCAAATCGCTAAACGGAAAAAATTCATATCTTTATAGAAAACGTTTCGGAGACCAGCTCCATCGTCAGTTCGTAGAATCTAGAATCACAAATCAGAAGTCACAAATTAATACATTGAAAGCATAGAACGAATTGATTTTCTTTAATTAATTAATTTAAAATTTTAATTTAATTTAAATTCTTAGTTAATTTGCCATTTAAGCAAACAAGTGATATCAATTCTTTAATAGCTATCTACAAAGTGCCGCGCTTGTGTTTCATGAGGCATGGCCCCTGTCAATCGCTAGCTCGTCAATCGGTCAAGAAGCGCATGCAGAGGCTGCAAAGCGCCTCTGTATGCGCTTTGAGGCACTTGATTCTCGTGTGTTGCCCCGAGTGTGAACGGGCTTTCAACACTGCGTTTTGTTATAGCCGTCGCACTTTACCGAACATAAGTGAAGGTAAGTGCAGACATCATTTCTAAAGAATTTGGGCTCTACTAATCAGTAGCACGGCCCCATAGAGATTAAAAAGGTTAAAGGTTAAAATTTTCGCCCTCTCTGTAACCGTTTTCGCTCTTTCTATCACACATTATGTCTCGTAAACGATGACATAATGACATTATTTGGGTTCATTTCACTGAATTGGTCCCATCACTATATACGGTAGGTAATCATCATCTTTAGATTAGTGAAATATATTTGGTGCCCTTTAAAATGAAGTATTATTAATCGTTAATTGTCATCCTCGTATATCAGAGCCTGCTGGCAGAAACCAAGAAGGATTATAAATATAGCTTGTCCCTCCCGCTACATAATTGGTGGCCAGTATGTACGTATGTACGTGGGACTGTCGCGGCGATCGTATCGTGGATCAATCTGTGAGGTTAAAAGCTCTTCTTTGGACGTTTCGCTTGCCACTTTGTTCAGATCCATCTCCTGCATCTCAGTCGCCCGCCTACTCTCGATTGTTTTAAAACCGATTTGTACCAGTAAATTGGAAGTTTGTACAGTATCTGAGAATGACTTAACAGTTTTTAGGAGTTGTTGTCGCGTTGGGAACATTAGTTTTTACGAACTAAAATCGCAAAATCTGCAACAGCTTTGGAATTTAGTGTCACATTTCGGCCAAGTGTTTAAGAGAGGATGTTATCTCTGTCGCAATCGCATTTACCGGCTTGAGGAGAGTCCAATATAAGCAGTCACTTCCACGGTCTTAGCGAATGAACCGGTTTGTTACTGGGAAAATTCGGGTAACCCTGATTAATTTTCCTCTGTGTGGCCTAACTTTTCCCCTCTTTCGCCTTGTTTGTCGTCACCGACGGTGCTGCCTCCACAGATCGAGCTTTGCGAACTAACAGTCTAGACATCCGCTACTTCATCGGACCCCCTCATTTGCAGAGTTGGAGTTACTATTTCAGCGCCGCTTCTGCATCTGGAAGTCCCAACTTGTTATTCCGGTCTTGACGGCAAGGTGTTCTCCAGCGGACTACGGCTATAATGTTTAATTTACAATGGGACTTCCACGGACGCTGAAAGTGAACCATCTGCTCACTGGTAGCCATCTGCCTCATCTTGATTGATGACGACAGCGATCAAAACATTACATCGGATTGCACGACCAGCTCTTTTGATGGTTAGTGGCAAAGGTGCAAGATGCCGGAGAAGAATGTAAGGTTCTTTGGAGTTCAAATACCGAAAATGAGATGGGAAGAGACGCTCAAGGGTTACGCGACGGGTTTTGAAGACGCATTTAGCAGGACTATATCGGAAAATTCCTAGGAGAAGCCACCGACTTCGTGATTAATTCTTTTTTATCGCATAAAATTTCGCAAGGATGTTTCCACTATGATTAGAAAGAATGTGTGCGCAATAAGGACATGTATTTAACATACTGTACCTAATAAAGTGAATGCAAAGGATCTCCGTATTTTAAGATTGGTTTAAATCCAACGAGAATTGTGTTATTCATTTTCATTGTGTATTGTTAATTAGTTATCTCTTTCGGAAATCTTGTATCAGCTCCCTATTTTGTGATGTATTTTGTAGTTTAGGTGATTAGTGCGTGGTCTTGGGGAAAGAGGAGGGTGGTTAGTGGGCCAACAACTATGGGCCGCGCTTGGAAAGCTTCACCGCGCACAGCTCCGAAAGCAACTATAGGATTCAAATCTGAATACTAACAGAATAAGTAGCTTTACTCGTATTTTGAGATTCTCTTAAATCATGGATTATACCTTCTAGCTGTGAAATATTTCTTGAATTGTTTTATATCATCCACGTATCGTGGGGTCCGCAGGGCCACACCACGTATTACCCGCAACACCTGCTACGTATCAGAGTGTGCAATTGTTTCTTTGCGTTGGTCAATATGTAAATCATGTCCGATACTTAGATCTATAACCCTGAATCGCGGGATTGAGCAATTGCCTTTGACTGAAATTTTTTTCTTGAATACGGTAGTGCCGGTGGACAATTTGTATTTTTTGTACTGGCTTTTGTTTTCTATCATTTCTGAAAATTGTGTGCTTTAGGTAGAATGAAGTTTGGCTTGTTGACTCCACCTGCAAGGCCGCATCTGGTTCAGGTCCGAGTATATGCACCGAGCTGCTTCGTACGTTTGGCTATCATGATAGTATACCACATATGTCACGCTGCCATGGTATTACATGTCTACAGGGTCATCAATATTTAGCGTCACATTGTTTTTTTTTCAAAATCAAAACACTCGCAAAACAGTCAAATGTGTCGTATGGAACCATGTCGACTGTTCTCCGGAAGCACCTAAAGTTGTCCCCATTCCAGCATGTCAAAAAACACCAACTGTCTGCTCAAGTTGTTGACAAACGCCTGCAAAGATCCAAGATTCTTCTTTCCCGCATTCATGATGGCACGCTGCCAAACCTCGTTTTCAGTGATGAGAAGATATTCAATGTTGAACACCACTTCAACTCCCAAAATGATCGAATTTGGTCGAAGAATGGGACGAAGGATCCCGTGTGGTGNTAACTACATACGCATGCATAACGGTGAGTGCGTATTGCTGCCAACTACATACGCATGCATAACGGTGAGTGCGTATTGCTGCCAACTACATACGCATGCACAACGGTGAGTGCATATTGCTGCCAACTGCACACGCATATCATGAAACGTATTCGTACATTACCTCATTCTTCAATGCCTTTTTTAGCAATGGAAAAATATACGATTCTGATGAAAAGAAAAGGTTAATTTAGCGGCGATGTCAAGACTTCCAATACAGTAAGAGTTTACGCTTGTTCATAGTACGCTGGGGCGATAAACCGACGATGCGCAATAAACTTAGATTATAGAAACGTCGTCAGCCGCCAAACGCTTACCGTTTTATAGTCAGCATTTTCTGATGATTGTGTTTTAGAAGTCCGAACACCAGTGCGCATGTTTATCGCGACACTATACGCTGCATAGTGCGTATTCTACTGCGGTATTTCGTCGATTGTCAATGCTACCACGCATGAAATAATTTATACGCTTTGATTTATGTGTGGCTGACTGCTGCGTCTGCTGCCTTGCTAAGAGCGTTTTGACTATAGTTTGAATGGATGTGCATGTTGAGTGTGTTAGTGCTGAGACAATAACACAGGCTATTTGAGCAATATTTTTTTTTTAATATGCGGCAGGATATGGTTACAAAAAGTGTTTAAAAAAATTAAAAAAGGCTCAACACATATCGAAATTTTGCATCACCTTTATTTTTTTAGTTTTCGGATGTAGAGAAATTACGTATACAGTAAGTAGGAATTACCAATTAAACCCGGGACCTGAGACCATTTGTTTTTAAATATTTTTGTCACCGCTGATTGAAAGTCTTTGACAGATAATACTAGAATTCAAGGTATTTTATATCCAGCCTCCAATTTTCTATAATCACCAGGAAGAAATTGGGCTGAAAAGAAAAAAATCATTTTGGAAACGTAAATTAACAATTTGCCTTATAAATTGCCGGGTTTTTTGAATATCCACTATTTTAAAATGTTAGCTAAAACATACAACTTAAACAGACCGTGCTTCAAAATCTTAATTTCGTACTTTTTTATTCCAAGAATATCATTTCTATATTTCGCTTTCTTTTCTTCACTCTTACTTTATGAGACAGCAAAAGTCTTTTTTATTTTTTATTATTGCACAACTCTTTGAGGTTGAGTTCTAAAGTTAAAACATGTGTTAAGATGACCAGCTTGATAGAAGAGACCATAACTTAATCATACGCATGCAAGATTTCATCGCCCATTCCTTCTTGACTAAGAGAACTTTCAACATTTTCATCTTAGCGTGTATTCTATTTTTCCTTCTACATTTCCAATGCTCAATCACAGTAATAATAGAGGCCCAAGTACACGTCCAAGTATAAGTTTGTAGTCGGTGATTGGCGGGTTTAGCTTGAAAAGCCGTCAGTGCTCGGTCGGCGTAGGGGCGATCTCGCAATTTTTGGCAGAATTCCCCCTGGTATTATGATAAATAACAGACTGAATTCTCTATATGGTAATTAACTTTAACCATGTAAATATAAACCTCAAGTAAGAGCTGTTTATTGGAGCTGTCTTTTGACGGCTGATTACTCGCTACTAAGACTATTTTGTGTATAGCTAATTTCATACATTTTCTTGTGTCCTTACCTCTTGTGTAATCTTCACTATTTCTATTAGCTTTTCATATTTGATTTAATTTTTAAATCACAATAATTGCTAATCTCCAGCAAGTTACGTCTGTTTTAATTGTTGGGAATTTGGTTCATTTACGTGTTTTAACAGCTTCAAATTCTGAACATTCATTGCCCTATATAGGACCAACGATAATTATTTTCTAGTGTAGAATTAGTGAGTGTATTTTGTGGTATTATTGTAAAGGTCATAATCCCGTTTGATGATAATCTTGCATTAATTAATGGTCAAGTTGAAACTATACGGCTCTGTTCGCTAGATTTCGATTTCACTGCTAATTTTCGTACCTAACTAATATAATGTTAGGGACCGCCTTTAAATATAATAATTTCATCGATAAGTAGGTTACGTGTTATGTCATTTTGCTTTTTAAGTCAACTATTACGTCACCTCGTCTAGATCCGTCATGTAACTTGTCATTGCTAAGTGATCCACCACAGAGGTTAGTACCTGAATTGTTTATCGTGTTAATCTTTCGTGTTTATGTAGTGGTGGTTTTTCTGGTGATATTGAATATTTATATTAGGTTATTATTCATGTGTTATATATTATTTCGTTAGCGTTACGTTAATTCAAGTCTTTAATTTGTATTTATTCTTGCTTTTCAGGGAGGTTCCGAACTTGGGACGTGATTAGGAATTAGTGGGCAAGGGCTAGAAAGACACGCGGTTTATAGTTTTTATAGTTTTGTTTTCTTGTATTTATCGTTCATTTATTATTATTGCTTTTCATTCCTTATTTTTATTCATCCTTTAAATATGATCACTGGTCAAGTGTTCGGGGTCAGAGAATGCTTATTTATTGATTAGTCCCCAACAATAAATGGAAAAGATATGCATGAAACATAGATGATTTGGGTGTCAATGATACGTCCATGATCATCGCTAATGATACGTCCATGATCATCGCTAATGATACGTCCATGATCATTGCTAATATCACGTCAGTGATCACCGCCTATGATTGACCGTTGATCCTCGCTTATAATATGTCCATCATCATCGCTTATGATGTGTCTATGATCAAGGCGTATATGTTCTACGCCTAGAGATTTTATAGAGATGAAACGAGACTCTGCCGCGTTTTGCTCGAAAGGCCGTCAATGATTGGCTGATGAACTTACGATCTCTTAACTTTTTTTGAAAGTATCGGTCCAGGACACTCGATGAATTTCCCATCACGTCGCGAATCCTGCAGTGTTACACTTAATTTTTCACCGTAACGTTTCTCCTTTAAGCTTGAGTCTTCTGATCGACGGCCTCTTTCGTTGCGAGAGTTTATGGTACGAATATCACTGAAAAAATATAACTCAGTACTCACTGCAGTGAGTGACAGAGAGCGCATTTTCTCGTCGACGAAAACTTGAGGTCACGGACAGACGGACGGATAGACAGACGGACATGGCGAGCACAATAGTGCATTTTTTCCATAAATGAGAAAATGCGCTAAAAAGTTCATGTATTCATATACGAAAGACTGATAATTTTTTCTGACAAGAAACCTCCTGAACCTTTGGCGCCTTACATTTTCAAGTTTGCCCCAGGAAAATTTCATCTATATTAGTTCCTTCTTTTGTAAGTGCATTGGCAGTAGTTCTACTGGAGAAGTTTATTTCATCATAGATTAAAAAATGAAAAAGTCTGTTATTAAGTTGAACATTTTGTCTAGAATTGCTGAAATTTCCGTTCCGTCTGCTTTTCCTCTTAGCTCTGGGCTGGATCGATATCTGTGAAGCCAAACAACTTTCCAATGCCAATTTTAGCAGGAAATAACAGGTTCTGTGGCTCCCTTTAAAGCAGTTAATTTTTTTCACGCTGCAGTGTGAGTATATGTATTTAATAATGACTAATTGTTATGTATCCACGTTTTTTTAAACCTTTTTGCTTTTGGATATTGAAATTTGTAGCCCCTGTACAACTAATATAAAAAATGTCCCGCAAGTTGTGCATTTAGTATAAAATACTTGTGAATAATGAACAGAGAATTCATTGCTTTAGATTTTCAGGGTGGATCAATTCCTCAGATGACATTGGTTGATCACGACGTTTACTTCGGATGTAACAACATTCATTTTCACGTTATATGAAGCGGTGAATAATGTAATTTTAATGGAAATAAGTACATGATACAAGTAACTAGGATACAACATGAAAACCAGAACCAAAAGAAAACTCCGAAACAATCTCAAAGATCAGAAAATCCGGTAGTTATGAGATGGATAGCTGGAGCCCATCCGTAGAGATGAGGGCTTCAGCTATCGTATACGGTCGGATAGGCTAAACAAATTTTAAAGTACTAACTTGAACCTGCCTTTCGATCAAACCACGTCATCTGAAGAATTGTCCGCAACTTAAAATTCAAATCAATGAATTCTCTGGTCAATAATCGCGCGTGTTTAAACAAGCTAATTTTGCCACCTAATATTAATTTAGTATGAAATTCGCACATATTTTTATTTAACGTTAACTCCACTTGGCTCCTGCTGATGCCAACATTTGTAAGGAAAATAAATTGATTCGGAACGTTAGTAGTTAGTGTAGTAGTTAGTTAGTACCTTTATAGGTCCGGCATTTCAGAGCCGTTCACTCTATGTATTATATATAAACAATTAATGGACGCTTTGCGAGACCTCTGAACGGATCCACCAAACTTGTCCATGGATTAGAAAACCGCATTCAACTCGCACACCGTCACTGCTCGCCGGATTGCAACTCTTTTCACTGCTCTGGCTGCTTGGCGTGACGATGCTTTTCCAGTTTGCTTGTTCAGTTGTCTCAGCTAAATTACCCAGCGTCACTATTTCATTATACAATTTTTACTGTTACTTTTCTCATGTCATTTCGTTGACTTTGAGCGAGCAGCTTGCAACATGTCTGGTCGGCCCCAAAGAGACATTGTTCCCAGAATATAAACAAATAAGATTAGAATGTGTGAAAATAATGTTTAAATAATATAAATTAAGAACATGAAAAACATGGAATATGATATATTAAAATCTAAACAGAAATACTCTCGTAAATAAATGTACTTCGCCAGAACATAACATTTTAAGGTTTGAACTGATGTTAAAAAAGATGAACGCCAAATCCGGGCATAATTTTACTAATGAATAATATTACAACACCCTTTTCGCTAAATCAGAAGACAACCGGTGTTTTCGCATGCTGATGCGGATTCTCGAAAAAATGCGTGCAGTTTCTTGCCGATGCCAACATCAATGTGCACTGGACCTGCAACAAGCGAGAGAAAGTGGCCGACTCTGACATTTATGTTGATACATCAAGTTCCTTAGAGATTAGAAGACTGCTTTGAATAACAAGACCAACTCGTGAAAACTCGTTCGCCGCTGCTAGGGCACTATATTTTGTATACATTTTTAAATCCAACGTCTTGTTACTAAAAACACGTCAGGAAATTGCGGCTCAGAGATGATTGGCTCAAGCGCATAGTTATTGTGCGGTAGCTTGGTTTTGCCGCTCTAATGAAGTGTCCGTTTACCGCCTTGACCACAAATAATCTCGAGGCCTTCATTTGTAAATGCCTCGCCTTGTATACGCACGTTTTTATCGTAGCAAAACTGTTCAAGTCGCAAGTATGGCTTTAGGAAATAATTGCATCGTATGTTTATAGAGATTAGATCCGGATTTGAAATGTCGTGTCATGTGCACAGGTTTAAATAAACGACGAAAGAATAATTCGATGGTAGAATTTACATAACGAATTTATTATAATATACAAGAATACAACTTACTCACCTGCATTTGCCATGGCATAGATTACAATTGATAGCCCAATATAGTAAATAATTCCCGAGTTTCGTCCACTTCAAGACAGCCGTACACTTACTCTTGCAACGTAAGTTCGCCATCATAACTAATTTCGTATATCTAATGCGCCCAAATTTATCTCTGGAGAAGACCGTATCCTTTAAGTCGACAGAGCTACAAGAGGAACCGACAGTATTGTCGCTTGATGCAGGTCATGGCACGACTTGAAGATTTAACCAAACTGTTTGCCAAGCGGACAAAAGACAAGAAAAATCGTGTCGCGTTTCTCCATTGCATTCAAAAGGCATCAGAGGAGATGCGGTGTAACAATTCGCTTTTACTTGCAAAGTCGGTACGGGAAAATTGTCTGAGAGGCAGACTGTAGAAAATAAAGTTGCAAAATAAACTTTAAAGAAGGTTTATGACTTGTGTATTTAAAAATATGAACGATATGGTATGACGGGGATAAATGCGGACGATCATTATTGTAATAAATCTACTGGTGGCTTGGACGTTCATGATCCCCTACACAACTAACTTCTACAGGGTGATTCACGGAAACTTCGTGCTTTGAAAGCTCAATATAAACGAAGTATAGTAAAGATATCATTACAATGTAAATTTTATTGAAAAAGACATTGCCAGAATTTTTTAATCGCTTGGTTTTAAAGATGGCATCGTACAAATGAAATTTCAAGGCATTCAGTTAATCGATTTTTTTGATAATCTGTTCAACTCGCTGAAGCAAATTGACGGGTATGTTGGCGATGGCTCGGCGAAAGTTCTTCAAATGTTCTTCAAATGATTTTCTTCATTCCAATTTGAATGAATTTGAAATTAAATTTGAAATCATTTGAAACTTCAAATGATGTCTCTTTGAAATGATAAATAGATTTTGTAAATCTATTGTAAGCAATAGATTTAATATAACCCCCATCTAATCAGGTACGGTTTTCCAAATTTACCACTTTGGAATATTACTTGCGCACGATCATGGCTTTGCTACGTGTGTACTCGAATTTACGTTCATCCACCTATAGCTTTGCCGCTGAATTCGCACGCAGATGTCACTCAATGTATTAAAAAACTTGCATGGTTAAAGCGTATATAGAGAAACCCTGGAATACTTTATCGTTACGATTAAGAAATATAGGGCCAAGCACATACGTAAGTTATTTTGTAATCAATGTTTGGAAACTATACACATCGTGACCAATAATTTTAGTGAGCCTATTTCGTATATCATTTCTACCATATTATTTAGTTTGATCTTTGATTATAACTATTTTGCACTGTATTATTTTTAAGTCCTCTGTGTGTTTGAGTGATGATTAAATCAAAGAATCCAGACACTATTTAATCCCCCTGCTGGCTAAGACTAATAAAATCTGTGCCAGCGTTAGTTTATATAGGCAAATGGTTCACTTGAAGGCCGAGATTGAAGTAATGTAATAAGTGTAACTGTTTTGTGCTTAGTTAAATAATTGAACGGCGAATTCTTGACTTGCATAGTGGTCGATAAAAGTTCACCCTAACTGACGTAGGCGCAATGTAATTCTGCTTGGTGTGTGTAGTTGACATAAGCAAGCACAGCGCGATCCGTGAGTGAGTTGAGACTGTGTTTAATTACCGTGGTTACCGTCTCAGTGACAGCGGATGTCACGTAGAAATCACTGTCGTTGAGCTAGCGGCGTATAGAGGCGCTCGAGTTCATTCAGGAGCTGCACACACGCACATTACACAGCCTTGTCGGGCGTTGGTCTTCTTGCTCGTTATTTCTATTGCTCTGCTCACGATTTGCTTATCACGAACACACGTCTTCTTGCTCGTGATTTCCATGTCTCTGCTCACGATTTGCTTATCACGAACACACGTCTTCCTGCTCATTATTTCCATGTCTCTGCTCGCGATTTGCTCATCACAAACATACGTCTTCCTGCTCGTGATTTCTATGACTCTGCTCACGCACAAATCTAAGCAAGAATAACTTGCAGATAAAATTAGCAAACTGGTTACGAGGAAGCGCCCTAAGTTCAGCGAAGTATAGCTACAGTTTTTCAATTCCTTGTTTGCGTAATAAAAACAAGGAATTGGTGAACAAGAATAGCAGAATAACTGTAAAAATTTTAACCATGAATGAATGTGCAACTGCAAATAAATGGTCATAAGTAATTGTTTCAATTGATGAACTAGAAAATGAATGGATGTCCGTAGAATAGATGGCATCATGCACATCACCAGCTGCGCACATCAGCAAGATTTAGACCATATGTCATTATCTGCTAAGATCGCAAGTAAACATAGATTTCTCAAGTATGGAAAACGCCCAGTAAATTCACCAGATATATATTGAAAACATTTCGGAGATGGAGATGAGCTCCAAAGTCAATTTGAAAAGTTCTATGTAATACAAGAACAATCATAAGTGAAAATCTGGTGACGCGCATGAAATTCAAGTAACGATTTAACAACAACGGACCAAAAAAGAACTATCGATTTACAATATCAAGAGAATAAGAGTTGTACGTGTTACTAGGACATATTCAGCATGAAGACGCACAGCAGAGTGAGAAGGCTTAGAAAGTGGCAGATTCGCATGAACACTCCTGCCGTGATATAGTTCGGATAGTTCCACACGAAGTCTAAATGAAAGAGGTTAAAATGTTTACAGGGGTTGGACAAAATAGAGAAAATTTAGAATTAATGAGAAATAAGTTCTAACTGGAAGAGGTTAAAACATGTACAGGGGTTGGACAAAATAAAGGAATTAAACGTCTGAAATTTTGAAATCGTAAGTTTTTAAATGTTATAAGTAATAGAAACGTGACATTTTTATAATTTGTTGCTTATTGTTGCTGCTAATTGATATCTTATCCTTGCACAGATAAAAAAACATGCATACGCAAAAAAATAATATCAAGATGAAACCATACGAATGACAGAGTTTGATGAGTTCACCATTTACGAGCGAGAAGTTTTTTTTTTAAGTTGTTCGTAACGAGAGATATTCGGTCGGAGGATTGATCTTTGTCGGCGGAAGATAGACTCCTGGCATAACTGAGGGTCATAAAAATCCTACATTATTATTTTCAATCAGCCATTAATGCGTCAACATTTTTCTGCAGATGATTTTCACAATTATTCCCACGTGTGAATTCCACAATTATTCCCACGCAGCACTGTTCAAGATGAATTTACACAAGACGTTACGACCGACGTAGGTACAATGATTAAAAGAAATCGTTGGGCAATTTAAATAAAATCTGCAAGTGAATTTAAAGTGTAAGTGTTAGTTAAAGCTAAGCCAGGTGATCCATGAGCTCATTGACTGCACAGTACGAGATCTGAGTTTCTATAAGGTAATGAGAACTCATATTAAATGCTGCCATACATGCTGAAAACGGTGTTTTTTATTGATAAATTTATATAGATATACTATATTTTAGTAATTGCACAAAAACGCCCTGGTTTTTAAAACTCCAATTACGAACTGTTTTTCTGTTAAAAAATAAATGTATTTATAGTTTGTACTTATTATTTATTTTGCCCGCAGTGCTGGGGGCAGGAGCCTCTCACAAGCCGCTGCTGCCTCCCAACCTGGGAAGCGAGGCTGCTGCTGGCGTCATAAAGGTATCAGCATCGCTTCCATTATCATAAGTCTTCATAGCTGAAACTATACTTCTAAAATATTAAAATAATCCTGCAGTTTCTTTCGATTGCGCTTTTCTAACATTCTCCTCGAAAAAAATACTTCTAACGCATTTCCGCCATTTTTTCCGACTTGTTTTTTTTTTTGGTCTGTCATTGTGAGCTCTTTACTGTTTCTGGTTGTGTCAACCATTTTATGTTACCCTATAAATAAGAAGTAGATTTTACCTAATGTAACATCTTTCAAGCCCGCGCGATAATAGCCACGACTAAAAGTTTCTATCCATACTAGCATACTAGACCTCTCGTTGATATTTGCTCATAGTTTATTAGCACTGTACTCCTGTACAAATGTCAAGCTCATACAAGTCAAGACTGCCAGGTTTACACCGCAGTAGAAGCGTTAACGTAGGTCGTCCAGGCCTAACTGACTCCTCCCTTGCGTTATAAGGCTTCATATAATCTGCTCTGCCGCGGGTGAGTTCCCTCATGTTGCTGTCTTAAGTCTCATAACCGACACACTGTATCATCAAATCGTCTGAATGATTTCTCCAATGAACTCAAGGCGAAGCCAAGCTCTCAGTGAGTCTGAGGCAGCATTTGTTAGTAGATATTGACGAAAGATGCTGCCTCAGCGTCTCTGCTAGCTCACTTACGTAAGCCCTAGAATGCTTGAAATAAAGAGCCATCGTCTGCAATGATAGACAGAAATGTATTGTACGGCGTCTTAGGTTGCTTCCTGAAATGCCAAACAATTGATGTTGATCTTAGTAACCGTAGACAATGTCTGCTTGTTATTCACTCCTATTCACCTCGCGTGCTTTCCTCCCGGAGAAGTCATTGTTGGCTGTGTCGGTGTGTCTTTTGGTAAAAAACATTGGGTTTTGTGTTCCTAGGGAGTACATTGTCCGTGATCTCTTCGCTACAGAGCTTGTATAGTATCTGATTGCATATCTCAATAGCGGAGTGAAGTAACAAGTTATGTAAGTCAGACGGTTGTGGGGTTATATTATAGGGGTGAGTCAGGTGCTATATTCAACGCAGTTTCGGGGTTAAGAGGGTAGCTAGGCACGTTTGTTATGATGTCGAGCAAGTTGCTATGTAGGCAAGTTATTTCCGGGGTTAAGTTGCTACGTATCGGCAAATTAATCCTGGGGTCAAGTATCTATATAAGTTATTGCGGGGATAAAAAATTGCTATGTAGGCAAGTTGTTGCATGTTCCTTGCACTTATCTTCTCAGTCTCGCGGAACCAACCTCTTGTCCAAGTGGTGTTTCTGTTGCTGTTCGCCTAACCTTCTTCGTCTATCGAAGTTGTTAACGCGCGCGCGTCTAAGCGCTGGCTACTTTACATCTTCCGACCCCCGGATTTCGATGAATAATATTAATATCAGAAATTTGCTATGATGGAGAGGTAACCCTTCTTGTTGATAATTATTATTTTGTTGATAACAGTGAACCATAGCCTCTTAACTGATGCGGCATTAAACCTTGTCCATTACAGTACCAGACTCAGCGATGTCTCAGAAAGCTTCTGTGGAAAGTTCGGCACGCATCGCTATATCGAGATTGTTTTTTCTTAATTAATTTATAGCCGCAACTCATTACTATTGTGTATTGTCATGACATCGTTAGCGATGAATCTTTGGTTATTAATTGTAATTGCCAACTGTTAATCTTAATAAATTATTATTTTTTGTTGGTATAGTGATCAATTTCACGATATTAGTTCCAGACGATTGGTACCAGCGACCAGCTGAGAGAGCCATTTCTGACGTTGTTCTCGCCTGCCTAGGCGCTGGGTAACCCAGTCTTGTATGGTGTTACATTTCTGACGTTGTTCTCGTCTGCCTAGGCGCTGGGTAACCCAGTCTTGTATGGTGTTACATTTCTGACGTTGTTCTCGTCTGCCTAGGCGCTGGGTAACCCCGTCTTATATGGTGTTACATGTCTGACGTTGTTCTCGTTTGCCAAGGCGCTGGGTAACCCAGTCTTGTATGGTGTTACATTTCTGACGTTGTTCTCGTCTGCCAAGGCGCTGGGTAACCCAGTCTTGTATGGAGTTACATTTCTGACGTTGTTCTCGTCTGCCAATGCGCTGGGTAACCCAGTATTGTATGGTGCTACATTTCTGACGTTGTTCTCGTCTGCCAAGGCGCTGGGTAACCCAGTCTTGTATGGTGTTACATTTCTGACGTTGTTCTCGTCTACCAAGGCGCTGGGTAACCCAGTCTTGTATGGAGTTACATTTCTGACGTTGTTCTCGTCTGCCAATGCGCTGGGTAACCCAGTCTTGTATGGTGTTACATTTCTAACGTTGTTCTCGTCTGCCAAGGCGCTGGGTAGCCCAGTCTTGTATGGTGTTACATTTCTGACGTTGCTCTCGTCTGCCAAGGCGCTGGGTAACCCAGTCTTGTATGGTGTTACATGTCTAGACGGCATCGAAGAATTCTTCGGGCACAGCCAGCTCGAGCTCCTCGGCTCTTCCATCTTCCCCATCATCCACCCCGATGATCACGAACTATTTCGAGCTCAACTCCAACCTAAGGGTGAGTTTTGATGACCATTAATCATCTCTTATTGGTGCGATCTAAAATACCTGCTAATGCTAAATACTCGAGATTTATTGCCTCACAGCTAGGTTGAAGTCAGGATCATACCTTGAAAGATAAAGTTTAAGATAAAAGATAAATTAGGGGGAGGGACTCATTCAACTCCAGAGGCAAATACTGCATAATAAAGTGCCACCGGCGTCGTCATCCTCATTCCTCAACACGTGCAACAATTTATGAAGAAATGAAGTGGACTAAAGGCACTGAACAAATGAGTAGTACAGTACCTATATTAAACTGGGCGGAAATCACTCCAGATTCCTGTCAGGCATCTTCCACGTCAACGCCACTTATCGCATTTATGTTAAAATTTATCGCATTTATGTTAAAATGAATCAAGTTATGAAGCGTTATAATATGCAGTACCTATTAATAAGATCTATCATTCATATTATCTATTAACAAAATATTTAGTAATTTTATTCTCACACTGCTCGACTAAATTTTAACCCAAATTTGTCAAAAGGACGTTGAAGTTTTAATTTTTCAACGGATCCCCGCAACCGCCAACCGTCAGGCCAAGCAAGCTTGCTTGCCTCACAAACGCTCGTCTTCCTGACTGCACAATGTAATATATAATTCATTCAGAGCAAGGAGAGGGCAAAGTGAAGCCAGCGCATAAAGGGGAGTGGGCTCAAGATAAAAGTGCTGCGCAGCGCTGTGTAATTATAGCTGCTTATAATACTCAAAGTACGCAAACCGAGAGCGGTATGCGTACTGCATACCGAGAGCGCTATGCGCACCTGCATACCGAGAGCGCTATGCGTACCTCCATACCTCTCTGCATCGTAAAGCATCTTATGATCTACTAAACGGAACAGCGGAAGAGCCATTCAGTAGTACTTTGCTGTAGTCACGGTGATGGTGTGAAATTTTCATGTCTAATTTCTACTGTTTTTAAATTTTACGGAATAATACCAGAATTGCAGATCAGTTTTTGTACACTTTATGCATTGTGCGCACGAAGACGAGCCGTGATCGTTAGTTGGGCGACGACAGGGACTTGAAGTTTGAAATTTACAATTTGTGAGATTGGCGGTGATAATCCTCGATTCTTATCGAGGATTATCGATAATAATCGAACGCGATTGATAATCGTCGGTCTTGAACGGTGATGAGCTGGAACTGTCATCACATTTTTCACTAGTCGTGTGCTCTGATCGAAGCTTAGTTGATTCGCAGAGTTCAGAACTAACATCCACAACTATTAACCGTTTTGGCATCTACAAGAAATCTCTGTTCCTTCCATATCACAATCCTCGAGCTGCAATGATTTATTGCTCGCGAGGTGAGGCTCGCTAAATGGAATAGCTACAATTACACTAAACACGATGATTACATTATGGGCGCTTATATTCAAGATATTATTACATTATTGAAATATACATACATCGCATTATCGAGATAGCTACAACGCGTTATTGTGCATGAGGATGACACGCGCGATGCGTCACCTCAGCCCTTTACCAAACAGCCGTGCCCTGCACTTGGGCGAAGCGCCTGCTTGACATCTACGCTCTTATCGCGATTGCGTAGAAATCCTCTGGCTTAAAGTAAATTAGATGTGACTCCAACGTTGAAAATTTTCAAGGATGAAGGATGTGGCAATACGAGCCACGGAATCGACGATTGTTAGCGATATCCATCTTACAGAAAGTATATAAATTCCTAGAGGAAGTGGCTAATTTATGACATACAAACTTTACATTACGATGTTTGTATATATCATCTGTTTTACGACAGAAATTTCGAGAATACGATAATTTAATGAACTAAGACACTCGTTAGTTCTTCATTCGGAGCTAATTAGAGATGACTGCCGGCTTGTGAGCTGTCGTTGCGCGCATATTCGCAGGCCTTCATTAGTTCGCGCGACTACACACTTTAGTAATGTCGAGAGCTAATTTTAATATAATTTTTCTAATTAATTCATGATTTTCTGCGATATTTATATTTTCCGAGAAACTTTAAGTTAAGAAGAAATATTGAATATCAGTAAGCTTGTGATGATAATAATTTGACTTTTACTAATTTGGACTCGCGTAGAAGAACTATGACAGTAGTTACGCATGCAGTAGCTGCGCCGAGTTCTTACCTAGAATTTCATCACATAGAATTCCTAGTTATGTCACCCACAATTTTTTTAACTTTTCCCTTCATTCACCTACACTTGGGCCGACATTCCCAATTATATGAGGCACTCCTCCTTGCCCTGTCATCACAGTAAAATAACGCAGCCTCTGTGATCCCCCAGAGAGCACGCGGCGCTCCTTCTTCTGCCGCATGGCTGAGCGCTGCCTCGCCCGCGGCGACTCCAGAAGATATGAAATAATTCACGTACAGGGCCACCTGCGCCCCATCCCTCCCCCGCCCGGCCCTCCTCTCCTCCTCAAGTCCGAGGACGACGGGGACATGGCAGCCTCGGGGGGCGCCTCTCCACCCGTCAGGCATCGCAGGAGTACCCGGCATTACGGTCAGTGCGGGCTGTAGGAGTACCCGGCATTACGGTCAGTGAGGGCTGTAGGAGTACCCGGCATTACGGTCAGTGAGGGCTGTAGGAGTACCCGGCATTACGGTCAACGCGGGCTGTAGGAGTACCCGGCCTTACGGTCAGTGAGGGCTGTAGGAGTACCCGGCATTACGGGCCGTGAGAGGCTAGGGTCGTTCACTATGTAATGAACTAATGCTGGAAAACAATTCCAATGTGAGCTGGAAAAAGTCATGTTGCTGGAGATGAAATTTTAGCTGAAGTGTCGCCAAATGTCGGCAGCGAGCAGTGAATTTTCACTGCCCCTCTTTTTCCTCTTGGCGTTCAGGGGGCGTCTGGTTTCCGTAGTAATGACAATTTTCATTTAAGAATATGTTCGTAAAAAGCTGTGTCTGAGTCTGCCCTGTATTCGCTCCTAGCCAATCGGTAGAATGGTTCTAAGCCGTGTAATATATTTCTTCTCAGCCTGTCCTGATAGCATTTTTAGATCAGCCTGTCATGATATTGATCAATGACCCCGCTTTATCTGCTCCATCTACGACATCGTAAAGATTGCTTCAGCCGCTCATGCTGGCGACAGATCCACAATAACTCTAGGAAGACGGTAACTGTTATTCATGTTGTAATATTGAAACAGATCATAGCTCGGTTTAAAACTAACTCAAAATCGAAAGTAGTTGAGACTTTTGGAATTAAACATCTGGCTCGTATGACCTCAAAATGTTTCTTTGAAATTTCAGAAAACAGTTTTGCTACCTCTGCTTAACAACCCCACTACATGCAAGTTGATAATCTCTCACCTCTGATGCAGTGCAGCATAGAAACTTTTGACTGACGCAGTGCAACATATACACTTCTTACTGGCGCATAATAAGCCAGGTTCTAGCGAGTGTTGTAATTATAAACGGCGTGCGCGCAGGTTCGCTCAGCTTGTCGCAGCCCTCCGAGGACGACTCGTCGGGGTCTGAAGAAGTCATGAGGGAACAGGCCCGGGAGTCCCACCTCCTGGTCAGCCTCGTACAGCTCATCAAGGAGCGTCCCATCACAGAGCTGTCCCGCCTTGAGACTATGAAGGATGAATACATCACACGCCATGATGTGTACGGCAACATCCTCTACACTGACCACAGGTGTGTACATCACACGCCATGATGTGTACGGCAACATCCTCTACACTGACCACTGGTGTGTACATCATACGTCATGATGTGTACGGCAACATCCTCTACACTGACCACAGGTGTGTACATCACACGTCATGATGTGTACGGCAACATCCTCTACACTGACCACAGGTATGTGCATCACACGCCACGACTCTAAACTCGATATTATTTTTGAGTTAAAAATCGTATTTTTAAGGTTTTTTTTCTTTGATGACAAATTCTTTTATTACCTAGTAAAATCCTCCATGTAAAACCTGAAAATATAAACTAAGATTGGCTTTTTCGTGATGTGCTTCAGGATTTCCGTGGTCACGGGGCACATGCCGGAGGCGGTGCGCGGGGCGTCCGCCTTCATGTACATGCACAGGAGCGACATGCTGTGGTCCCTGCTGGCACAGAAACACAGTTAGTGGCGCGTGTATGTTCTCGTGCATCTTCTTTGCTCGCGTGTACGTTGTTGTCAAGAACATGACTTGTATGGCGGTAATACAAGTGTTTAATAATTATCACTGTATGGCTGATTATTGTCATGTTTGCAGTGTTCAGCACGGACCAGGGGCAGGGTGTGGTGTCATACAGACTGCGCTGCAGCGACAATAGCTTCATTACGCTGCGCTCACGTGGTTTCCTGGAGGTCTGTAAGCAGACAGGCAAACTTGAGTCTTTTGTCTGCATCAACTCCGTCGTGAGGTGCGTATTCTTGATTACCTTTCAAGTTTAAGTTGAGCCTAAAACTGTTCTATATCCATTTAAAATAATTAAATCATTATCTGGCGCTTTGAGTGTTATTCATTTTAAAGTGAAATGTAAATTTTTTAAGGTGATGCCGTGTATCAAATTGCACCTCGCTTTGATGGATTAGTTTGAATATCTTTTTTATAATGTATTTGATTTATGAGCTCGGTTTTTGGTGACGCAGAGAACACGCAATAATTGTTCACGAGCTCGCAGTATCTGACTGCTGGTCTCTTTCATGTAGGTAGGATTCCTTACGTTCATATAGGGTAGGTTTCGACGTCCCGTGTGAGCGACATCTTGTTCGAGTGTCTTCGTATCTATTGCTGTTCACCTGTCCCTCTTTGTCACCTGTCCCTTCGTGTCATATGTCCCTCCTTGTCACCTGTCCCTCCTTGTCACATGTCCCTTCCTTGTCACCTGTCCCTCCTTGTCACATGTCCCTTCCTGTCACATGTCCCTCCTTGTCACCTGTCCCTCCTTGTCACCTGTCCCTATGTCACATGTCCCTTCTGTCACATGTCCCTTCCTGTCACATGTCCCTTCCTGTCACATGTCCCTTCCTGTCACATGTCCCTTCTTGTCACATGTCCCTTCTGTCACATGTCCCTTCCTGTCACATGTCCCCTCCTGTCACATGTCCCTTCTGTCACATGTCCCTTCCTATCACCTGTCCCTCCTTGTCACCTGTCCTTCCTTGTCACATGTCCCTCTTTGTCGCCTGTTTCTCCTTGTCACTTCGTCTCGTTGAGATGCTAACGCTGTTTTTCTTGCCAGCTTCAGCGGACGTTGTGTTGATGTTTCAGTGATGTATAAATATGATAATGCGCAGACATAGTAATGTGTTGATGTTGCAGTGAAGTATAAATGTGTTAACCAGACGTAGCGATGTGTTGATGTTGCAGTGATGTATAAATGTATTAACGAGACGTAGTGATGTTGTGTTAATGTTGCAGTGACCGCAACGCTGACGAGGAGATCAGAGGCCAGCGTCGCAAGCTACTGCCGCTCTTCTCAGGCTGCAACGCCAACGAACTGCTCACCAACATCACCTCCGAGGTACCTTCGCTACAGCATGTACTAGGAAGAGGCCTTTACCAGCGCATTTCCCAAAACGTCTTTTCTAAAGCATTTCCTAGTAAAGGTTTTTCACTAGTTTTTATATTTTGAAGTAAAATTGAGCGAGAATTACACTGTGAACGCGTGTGAAATGGGTCCTACAAATTAACGGCATGTCAGTATCATGTGTTGTATCATGAAACCTACATGTCACCTTGCCTGGTTATTCCGATAAAGTTCTTCTTGTCACCCAAAAAGATGTCTAGCACTGTCAGTGATGATAGAACTTAAGTCTTTATCTCTTCAGAGCGCACGTTTTCTCTTGTCAGAAGTTACGGTTCCGTTTTAACAGCAACTACGAGACCATGTGAACGTTAGTTACTTGATTTCATTGATAATAGTTACGGGCCCGTGTTGAGAGTAATTTCGTTTCTCTATTGACAATAGTTACGTAATCCGATGAATAGTTCCGTGGCCCCAATAGACAGTAGCTGCGAGAAAAACGTTCAAATTCAGATGCTTATAGGTATCTAAAAAGTTAGGCCCCATTTCGCATGGTATTTGATATAATGGTACGGTAACTTTGATATTGGTATTGCAGTTCCCTCCGGAGCTCATGGAGATGATAATGCGAACTCTGGGCCCTGAGAGAATCATGAAGATGCTATCGTCGGTTGCCCGCTCAGCCCCTCCCTCCAAAGACCCCTCGGCTCCCTCCACTTCATCCTGCGCGACCCTCAAGGAGCTGGGGCTCGACGAACTCGAGGAGCCTCCATCCCCTGTAGTTTCAGCTGAAAATGTGCCGCCAAAACCCTGCAAACGCCCCCGCTTATGCAATCAACGCAGTCAAGAGGGCGCGTCTACCTCGCAATGTGGTCGGTTTGTAGCTCCCAACGAAACTGTTCTTTCGACGACATCGAAACTGGACCCTCTAGACGACCGAGGCCTTCAGCGTAGCAGTAACAAGACCGATGTTAACAACTGTGACAGTCGGGAAGTGAAGAAATGTTGCAGACCTTCTGATTTAACGGGTTCATTTAATGTCGAGATGACGCCAGTTGCAAACGCAAGTGTATCGCCACCTCAATGCTATGAATCGTTATCATATTCAGCCACGCCTGAGAAGCCAATGCCTATCCCCAATCAAATCTCACCTTTCCAAAATGATGCCTCGTGCAGAACATTAATACAGAACAGGAGCATAGACTTGCAGATGAAGACTCCAATAGTATTAAAAACCTCGCAGCAGATGTCCGGTTCAACGTCCAAGGCTTGTGACTTTACGCCGATCGGAATGGATTGTTCCGAACTTGTTGTACAAATGTCATCTCATCAAAAATTATTGTCGGAAAACCTAAACGAGGGAACTTGGAAGACGTTAAAAGGGACTGAAGAAACTCACCATACCACTGTAGGTGTGGCGTCACATCATCAACCCGGTAGTTATTTTTTTAATTCAGGAAATATGGGAATTGCCAACACGCAAATGAGCTCTTCACTGAATTATGGAATCGGCACGTGCCACCAGATGAGGCCGAGTCTCACTCAAACAAATAGTCGGTTCGATAACAGAGCTGAGTGCTTCCCGGAAATAACAGAGGATTTCCGCAGTCGCTCTAGCTTTTGTGATAGCATGAAAGGAACCACGAATTGCGATCGTCGCTTATCCCAGCCATTGTTGCAAGCTCCCTCTGTGTCACCCGAGAGTAACCAAGATTGTTTGTTCTTTCCCTGTCCTGAACCCAGCTTGTATTCTGACTCCTTCTCGTATTCCTGTACTCAACCTCCCTTGACTCCTAACCCGAGGTTGTGTCAGGATTTTCCCGCTTCCCCGCCTCTGGAGCTATTCTCCCCCTCATGCATTGCGTCGAGTTTGACTAGCAACAACGATAACAGCGATAAGCGTTTCACGCAGCAGCCATTGATCAAGACAGTACAGCCGTCCTGGTCTCGCAATCATGGTCCATATGTGTCCCAGCTACCAGTTCTGAAATTCACCCCCTCTATAGGGAAAGATAACCATATGAACATGAGTGGTCATGAAAAGATTAAGGCAGGGGAAATGGGGTCGATGTACAAGCAACAATTCAGGTCGCCGAATAATACTGATTGCTCGCAAATGAATGCTTTTTTAGAACATCAATTATGATGGGGCAAGAACCTTCATATTCTGCAACCTTAAGTACAACATCAGCAGCTGCAACCCTGAGACTAGCTGCTTATTAGGAGCTCACGGATCATTTGTTACAATTAAACTTCTAAGTTCAATTTTGTTACGCCATTCGTTTCACTGCGATACTTAATAAGCTGGGCGGCTGAACACTAAATATTCATCTTGTGAATATATTTAATCTAATCACGAAGCTTTGAATATAAGAAACATGCTGATAATGAAAGGGAGTTAATATGCACTCTGATGAGTTTGTCTGATGAGTCCGCATTGTAAGATAAATTATAGTCATTTTATAACTCTTACTCGAATTTTCGAGAATAGAGATGATCTTTTTTTTTCTTATTGGCACACTAAGCTCGTCGCACTTGATTAAGCAGCATTTCCTTGCGATGTGTTTTACTCGGCGTGTAACTCTTCATTTCGGCTGCTGTGAGACCAACGTATGAGCGACAGTCGCTGCCACGGCTCTTTATTGTATCGCTCATATTGAACTAAGACCTATACTAGTCCTCGTACAATATACGAGCCATTGATGTAAGTTTGTATCGTGCAATAAGCCCCCCATGTATCGTATATGATATATTGCTCATCAATTATCGCTACTCTCTTCCTTTTAAGCGTGTGCAATCTTCTGAATCGAATTAAATGTTTTTTTTTTTCACGAGACCAAATGTTTAATGTTTGTGGCCTCGTGAGACTCCAGTGCTGATACTCACTTAAAAAGTCAGGAAATAAATGTTCAATGAGAGGGATTTGTCTCACGCCTTCAATTTAGCAGTAGATTGGTGCACAGTCTGCGAGTCGAGACTTCATCGTACGGTGGAAATACAACAATTAGATGTGCGCCATATATTTTACATGGTTCAGGTTTTCGCAACAGAATCGTAATAATGTACTTCATTATTTCTGTACGTATGGCATCTAATATCCCTTTATGTAACATATGTGTTTACTTACTTCATAGTCTAATGTAAGGTAAGCAAAGTTCAAAGGTCTGGAGTTTGTGAGCAACAAAACTTCCTGCCGACTTAAGGGTGAGATGACACCGCCGCAGAACAGATGCTACAAGAGCAGTAACGTCAGTTCGACTTCGCAGGGCTCGTGCCCGCCTTGAAAAAACCAACGTTAATTACTTCGGTTATGAAGGCATATTGTGCTACACTAAAATAAGATAATCCCGCTTTCTGTATCAGGATTCATTTACCTCTGTGAATCGCTCACAATAATTTGATCTCGTATCTGCACTGTGGTGAATGTTAAACGTTTGCTAGCTACGCTGCGTGACATCCGTTAATGCTGGTGTTGTCTACATTTCTTGAACGTCTACATCGCACAAAATTTTCAATTGTAAAGCCCCATGAATATGTTATTGTTGTGTAGAACTCGTTCTGCGTGATAAGTTTATTTCATTTTCTCTTTTGTAAATATCAAATATATGTATTTCATTATTATTCGCGGGGTCGGCGCTCAATCCATAAACTCCCTCAGAAAACCAAGGCTACTCCGGATTGAATATTTTATTGGCTATTCATATCTATTATTTTGTATCGAACATTTTTGAAACGCAGAGTTGTCGAATTATTATATTTTCTAACAGATTTTTAACTACGAATATCATTTCTTCTCTCGAGCACCAAGAAATTCTATGTCCTGTCTCGTGGTGCGTGCTTCAATTCGGGCCAAAAAATAAATAAATAAATTATTAGACTTGGTATAAACTTCCGTCTAATAAGCATTAATAAATGCAGATGATATATTATCAAGCTTAGACCAGGAATATCGATGGGCAGGAGTATTGCGACAGACCAGCCGTGAGATTCCTCCCAAGCTGCTGTTGTATTTAATTCACTATGAGAAGAATTGTTGCTCCTCCTGAGTTTGTAGGGCTGAATCCAGTCTATTAGAATTCCATTGCATATATTCCATACTCTAATTTTGTGTAGCCTACGTTTTCGTTACATAAATCAACTCCTTGAATGATGGTGTAGAATAAATCATCCCTTCTCTTCCTCTGGAAAAATAATGCTCATTTTAGAACATAATAATCGATTACAATCTTGAAGAATCCGCTAACAAATAATCTGTGAATAAAAAAATTTGAATTCCACTCATACTCTTCGTACAATCAATCAAACTTCGATGCCAAAGAAAGCTAACTCGTACTTGGTAGGCGCCTGTAGGCCAGATGTCGTGTAGATTTTAAGCGCACGTCTCCTTACATCGTCAATGTAACGCTTCGGACGATGTTGCGTCTATTGTATTGGCTCAATATTATACTTTTCAACATTTTAGAGCCCTCTTCAACAGTGTAATTATTTCTTGCTTGAATTTGTCCTTTTACGAGAAAACTGCGCTCTATTTTGCAGCCAATTCTGTCGTATTATTAGCGAACAAACGCCTATTGGCGTTTTGAACTTCTTATTTGTTGCGTAGAGGATTGGTAGATGGTTATTGATCTAAAATGTGGTATTTGAGGAAGGAAATTCTTGATGAGTTGCTGGAGTTTCTTGCTGTGTTATGAGGTGGGCGTGTACTGCTTATTATATTAGATTCCCATCCTACAGATTAACTTTCCAGGCAGGAATTACAGATGTACGGTTAGATTTGTGCATTGAGCTTCTTATACTTTTGGTTTGAATGATTATACTTTTGGTTTGAATTAATTTAATAAGAAAATTACTTGGTTGTTTTTGTTGTGTGATAAAGAGACACAACATAAACATTGTAATAAAACGATCTGTTTGTCCTGTATGGTTGTGGTCACTACAATCTACAATGCAGAGATAATGTACTCTGTCCTCTATATGATCAATGTGTGCCCTTTACAATAGCCTTGTTAACATGAATTAATGTGATGTTAGAAATAACTAATGAAACTAAGTAGCTATACAGAGACTCGGAAGTAGCTGATTCCCTTCTCATTAATTAGTTATCATTTTTAAAAATTTACAGAATATTATTGTTGAAGGCTCAATGTTAAAAAATGGGCAGATATTGTTGACGGCTTAATGATAAACAAAGCTGTAATTTAACAAATGTATTCTGTTATCATGAATTTCGCTAAACTTGATTAAAGATGTCTCTTTTTTTCACAGCAATTTTGCAAGCCCAGGGCATTTCTCGGACATCTCTCAGGGCCTTATCCTATACGGGACTCAGGACGAGAAAACCTCATCGACTATCTTGGCCAAAATTGCAGCATATTCGTTTAATTTTTCTATAAAATCGAATTTTTATTCTTATTATTTTTTCTAAATAAGACAATCGAAATTTCTAGAAAAAGGTACGAATTAAAATATTTATTATGCGGCTGAAATATATATTAAAGTGATTCAAAAACGTATCTTGAAATGTGGTCGATTGTTTATACGAGTTTATCACAGTACGCAGGCCTGCAGGCTACTCATAGCTGACGCACGTCGGCCCTCTGAAGAAACAGTACACTCGAGTTTGTACATTACCTAAATTCGTTAGCCTTAAGATAACATTTCCATTGATTTGGCAAGACAATAAAGTAAAATTGGCTTATTCTATGTGGTTGTTCGTTTCAGGTCTGGAATATTCTGTAGCCCCTGGAAGCTCTGTAGATGTTCGCGGACAAAATACGATTACCTGCCTTGTACAAACGCCGCGCCTCAGTAGTGTAGAGGTCAGGGTACGTAGTTAACCTCGTGTAGACAACATAAGTTACTGGCGCGTTATGAACATCGTACTTTTGTAATTTATGTAGCGCTTACCTTCTTAGAAATGCACTGCAATGGTAGATTTAATGAGTGTTATATTTTGCTTCACTACCTTCATGATGCAGCTACGACTGTTCTAAGTCAGACTTGCTTGTACAGGGTTATCCTAAATGATGGACCCAATTTAATAGATTCGTATTTATTTAAATATAATTTCAAAATGAATAATTTACCCACCAATGGAAAGAGAACGATTCAAAAAATTTTTTAGATATTTATAAATGTTCAACACGTCCCCCTTGTGCTGCACGGCAAACATCTAAACGGTAGCCAAACTCGTCCCACACACGAGAAAGCATATCTTCTGTCACTGAGTGCACCGTAGCAGTGATACGGTTCTTCAGATCAACCAGAGTTGCTGGTAGAGGCGGGACGTAAACAGAGTTGCTGGTAGAGGCGGGACGTAAACAGACTTCCTGTCCTGGTAGAGGCGGGGCGTAAACAGCCTCCTCAACATAACCCCAATAAGAAATAGTCATATGAAGTGAGATCAGGTGATCTCGGGGGGCAAAAGTGTAGAGCCAGATCTTCATGCCCTGTGCGTCCTACCCAACGCTCAGGAAGTGACTGATTTAAAAAGTTTCAGACATAAAGATGCCCGATCCTGCATTTGAATAGTTAGTAAAAATTTAATCTTGTTGTTTGAATCTCCATTGTTGTATAAATTATTCATTTCCTATTTATCCAGGATGGGCCTATCCAGGCCTATTCTTCAATGCCGAAGATACTATACTATACTACTATACTTGAATAAATAAGAATTTTTTAAATTGTGTTCATCATTTAGAATAACTCTCTGTATTTGATTATTATATTCAATTATGTTGCGCAACATAGACATAGGGTGGCCCAGTGGTTAAAGTTCAGAGTACCAGGATTGGCGCAGAGAGGCCCGGGTTCGATCCCAGCTCTGTGCGCCAGTTTCTGGTCAGAATCGGCGAGGAGACCGGGTGGTTAAGCACAGCAGAATTGAATCAGTGAGTTGCGCGTTCGAGACCGCAACAACCTGTGTATGTTCTGCTATGTTAAGAATCGGCGACAGGCCTACGGCTTAATAAACGCTGAAACCGCTATTTTTTTATTTATAACTTAGATCGTGACTTGTCTGTTGCTGCAGTCGTCACCTCCTGCTGCTCGTCTCAGGCTTCTCTACCATTAACTTATGTGATTCTTTCACTGCCTCTTGACTGCTTTGACAATATTAATGCAATCGATGTGTTCAATTGATTTCAATATTGCTCATTATTTAAGCGGTGTCTTCAACAATTCATCAGTTTTTAATGTGCATGCAAGGGGCAAGCGGTTCTCTTGTAAGCGCGATATCAATTTTTTGCTCGAGTGTTTTAGTTATCAAGTTTGTAGATGTAACTCATGTTTGTCGCTTTGCAAGCGAGGTAAGATTCAACGAAGGTTGTACATAACGAATCCTTAGTGTGCTCTGGGTCCTCGAGATACCCCTCAGGGGGGACTTCTAACGTGTCTCTGTGCTCGTCAGAAGTCCTATGGGATTTCGCACTCCTAGGGGATTGTTCCTGAGCGCCCCACCGCTGAGCTCGCGGTGTCTGACTGTAGGTCTCAGTTGTGGAGTTAAGTTATTATGTAGGTAGGATTCCTTGCATTTCCCTTCTCTGTATTGAGATCTTCCGCCCCTTGTGGGTGATGAATAACTTGAGATCTTGAATAATTGAGACCTTCCGCCTTGCTGGCGATGTTATATTATGACCTCCGACGCGAAATAGCTCTATAGCTGAAGCGCTAGCAAACTATCATACTACTACTACTACTACTACTCCTCGAGATATGTACAGGATTCCGCGATTCAATCGCGTTACAGTGACGCTCATTTGCCTTGCTATGTCTCTTCTTTTATGCACGCTGAGTGACTGTTCGGTTGTTTCTAGGCTTAAATTGTCAACCTTTTCACAGGGAACATCTCAAATGTCGTAAACTAAGGATTTTTCTAGCTTTATGTGCTGTTCAAACTCGGTTCTCATCCTCTGTTCGCTTTGTGGCTCGAGATTATATGATATGTCAAATTCCAACGATTATCCTGCCAAGATATTGTTGACTAGCAGCAAGTGTAGCGACGAGAAAAGTGAAAATTTCATCGTATTTCTTCAGATAAATTTCAGTGATTCCGTCCCGGCTTCCGTGCTTGCCTCAAGCTTGTCTCGTCACATCAAACATTTATAAGATTCAAAAGCTCAAATTTAAGCTCTAATATAATACTTTGATAATACATATATTCACCTCCTCATAGTCGGACCATCCCCACTATTTCCGTTGCACACAACTACATTATCTCACTGAGAACAATGTTTTACCGATATTTGCTCGATATTGCTCTTTGAATTTTTTCATACTTTATTACTGTCAAGTTTTTTCGATCTGGAACCATTGATCCATTCTTGAAAAATGTATTTGTAACCGTGTAGCTTGCAGCATTAGGAAATACCATTCAGTTCATGAAACTCTACCTCAGTTATCTTGAGTCTAGGCGTATTCCGGCAATGATTCTATCATTCCTGTTTTTTTCCCTAAGGTGCTTCGAATTTTGAACTCTGGTACCTTATATGAGGCAAATAGTAAACTATTTTTTCGCTCCAATGCAAGTATGCAACCCTTCGGTTTCTCTCACTTCTCTCTCTATCAATCCCCGTTAGGGTTGCCTCCGACGCGAGTCCTAAAGGATTCAACTTTCTACGCAGCTTTGGTCTTTCAGCGCCCCGTAAAGCTTATATCCAAAGGCACCGAGCAAGCTTTCCGTGCATGAGTGAGCTGCTGTACGAGTATCTTCGTTTCTGTTGCGTTCGCTCATTTTCTTTCCTTTTTGATCCTGGGTCTTTCGTGTCAACTGTACGAGACCTTCCTAATTTTATTGAAGAGGGAGGAGTAATTTTAGGGTGAAAATTTTTTAGAGCGGCTCAGAGGGACGTTGGCTTGAAATTAGTTCTATTTGAACTAATCTTGTCTAAGGAGAGGTAGAGCTGCTCGAAGGTATGGCCAACGTGAAAGTCAATTGTAGTACGATCGGCGAACCTTGTACACCTTACAGGCCAACTTGCTCAATCTTTGTTATTATTTACGTTGACTTCAATATTATTTTGTATCATATAATTATAAATGTTGATGATGCCTCTTTTATAATATCCTTTGAGAAGCCATTTCAACGGATGAAAATCGTCATAGAAACAAACGTAAAAATATGTTACGCCATTCTTGTTGTCCTTAAGTATATTTTTCCTATTTATCGCTAACTTCGGAGGACGACGCGAAGTAGAGCCTTATGAACGAATTGCAGAGCCCTCCCATCATCACGTACGAATTCCATTCTGGTGCGACGACAGGACTGAACGGAGGCAGGACTCCGCTGTTACGTGAATATGGTTTCTATGCCTTCTTTGCAACGGGTGTCAACTAAAATTGATATGTGGCGTACCCGAGCTGCGTCTATTGGTGAACATGTTTGATGCTTGAATAACACGATAATGTTAGTACTAAGATAATGAAGCAGCGTTATTGTGGTCACACTGGCCTAAGCGTTGTTTAGAAATTTAGCAAAAAATACAGGATTGTCAACATCAGTCGTCACTCAGTGATGCGAAGGGAGGATCTGTTCACTGGTTGGCAACCCTGCTCTAGTTAGGATGGCTGTTTTTTCCTCTTTGAAGATTGAGTAGACTTTGAATTAGGTAGAGTTTTATTGCACGGAATACTGGCACTATTATCAGCTTAGATTAGATCATGAATACAAAAAAATTAAATTTGCCGAGCCCAAGGCAGGCGCCTTTAAGAAACAACTGACCGACCGTTCTCGAGCGTAGAGTTGGAGGTGAACCTTTTGGGCACGCACAGTATATAGTATCGCCGCTCAAACACTAATATTTAGATTACATTTTATAAGATTAAGTATCCAAGGAGCAAGGGGGATGGCAAAAGTTTTTGTCTATCCCAACATACTGCGTTAAAAGATGAAATCAGAGTACTGACGAGAAAATGTTGCACAGAGAAGTTAACACGACCTTTGGGTCCCACAGCCTGAATTATAGTTTAAAAGTAAACATTTTGTTGCACAAGTATACAAATGAATACAACTAATTCAAATGTCAGAGCTGCCGACAGTCAAAATTACTAGCTATTGCTAACTCGACTGCATTCACCCCAAGAATCAAAATACAATTCCTTCCCGAATGCCTGAATAATTCTTAAATTGCCGTCTAGTCCTTCACGAAATAAATTATCAAAATAACTAGTCCATCTTGAAAAAAAAAAAAACAATAGTTTGAAAGCGCAAGTTTTGCCCTAAGCTTCAATGCGAGATCTCGAAAAATTTGCTCGCTAATTATATGAAGAAGATGAAGCATAATTTGTGGGTTACGTCAACAGTTTGCAATTAATATCAGCAAACATATCGTCAAGATTACATGGCTAAACAGCATTTCAGTAACGACTCAGAAAACCTGCAACAAGCTAGCAAGAAGCTGAAGAAACGGCCATCTTAATCCACCACCTTTATCCCACAACTTAATCCCAAATCAACAGTTAGTTATGTGAGCTCGTCTAGCTGCCTTCCTCACCAGTCAGCCTCGATGTAGTAGACTGCGAGAACAAGTTGATTCTAAACGTGATCTATAGACATCGTTAACACGTCATATATGTACAATAACTAAACATTCCGCATCAAAACGAGAATTGTGTGACCAAGTACAACAACAAAATTAAATTTCGAGCAAATGCCAACTACTTAGGTACGTCATTCACACAAGATGACTTGTTTCTTAACGTTAGTGCGATAAAAAAATAGAGCATTTCTACCAACAAAGCAATTTCTTAGCGACTCAAATCAGTAGACAAAATGTCCACATGTAATAAAATGGCTCATTTAATAAAAGTAATAACAGCAGCAAACACACGAACACAGCACGTCTGTTGCGAAAATCAAACGGCACACACTGCACGGCGCATCTGTAGGAACGTGAAAACAGTAGGAAGCATTCACACGCGGCGCATCTGTAGGAACGTGAGAACAGTAGGAAGCATTCACACACGGCGCATCTGTAGGAGCGTGAAAACAAGTGTCGCTGGTCCAGCATGCCAGACACGCTAGTCCAGTACACTAGTCTCGCTGGTCCAGCATGCCAGACACGCTAGTCCAGTACACTTGTCTCGCTGGTCCAGCATGCTAGTGACGCTAGCCCAGCATGCTAGTGACGCTAGCCCAGCATGATGCTGTCCTGGTAGTAGGCGAGCAGGAAGAGCAGCGACGCCCCCAACAGGAGGCCGATGTTCTGCAGGAGCATCACCCACGCGGCCTCCTTCATCGAGCCCTTCTCGAACGCCGCGTTCAGCACCTCGTTCAGCTCCGGCACCTGCGGGGAGGGGATCTGTAGTGGGAGATGGGCAGGGGGGCACCTGCAGGAGGAACGTCTGTAGTGAGGGGTGGGCAGGGGGCACCTGCGGGGGGGGACGTCTGTAGTGGGGGGTGGACAGAGGAGCACCCGCGGGGGGTGTCCGTAGAGGGGGAGCGACGGAACATCTTCAGCGAAGGTGAGGAGTGAGCGTGACAGCATAAGGTAGCAGAGAAGAGCAGAGTCAGAGTGACATAGTGTGACGTAGCGGGTGACGGCAGAAGACCGCGAAAGCAGCTAGGTGAAATTACACTTACCATATCCACGCAGCAGGTGCACTCACCATATCCACGCAGCAGGTGCACTCACCATGTCCACGCAGCAGGTGCACTCACCATATCCACACAGTAGGTGCACTCACCATATCCACGCAGCAGGTGCACTCACCATGTCCACGCAGCAGGTGCACTCACCATGTCCACGCAGCAGGTGCACTCACCATGTCCACGCAGCAGGTGCACTCACCATGTCCACGCAGCAGGTGCACTCACCATGTTCACGCAGCAGGTACACTCACCATGTCCACGCAGCAGGTGCACTCACCATGTCCACGCAGCAGGTACACTCACCATGTCCACGCAGCAGGTGCACTCACCATGTCCACGCAGGAGATGTAGATGAACATGCCGGCGGCGAGGGCGAAGATGAAGGAGGCGTCCTTGGTGATCTCCCCGAGCAGGATGCCCAAGGCGAGCCCCGCATAGCAGGTCGTCGCCGACAGGAAATTGTACATGAGCGCCTGGCGCATCGACATGCCAGCGTTCAGCAGCACCGCGAAGTCGCCTGCACGAGGCGACGTAATTATTAGTAGTAGCAGGTGTATAGTTTTAGTAAGTTTTTAAGCGTTTCAGAAAAGACAAAAGACAGGCCATTTCATGCCGGATGGCGGCGTAAGTGCGGTAGCATATGAGCTGCGTGGTTACGAATAATCACCCCAACAAACCCAGCTCGTGAGGCAGACTCACCCAGCTCGTGAGGCAGACTCACCCAGCTCGTGAGGCGGATTCACCCAGCTCGTGAGGCAGACTCACCCAGCTCGTGAGGCAGACTCACCCAGCTCGTGAGGCAGACTCACCCAGCTCGTGAGGCAGACTCACCCAGCTCGTGAGGCAGCTCCTCGCACATGACGGCGAGGCTGATGCTGACGCCCGTGGTCCAGGAGACAGAGAAGGCGGCGCCCATGCTGACGCCGTCCAGGAAGTTATGGAAGCCGTCGCCCACGATGATCATCCACGCGACGGTCTTGATCACCGAAGACTCGCCAGGCTCGTAGTGCACGTCCACGCGACCGCAGTCTGGCGCTGGCTTCTGTGAGGGGAGGTTGCTTGTTAGCGCGCGTCTTCACGAGACATGGTTACACTCTTTTTGCATACAGCAATTTTACACCAGCTAACAAACACCATTTGATTAATTCACCTCAAAACATTGAACGGAATACATTTAGGTCACTTAAGGAAGTTATAGCCGACAGAAACCAAGTTAAATGCGGAAGCGAGTATAAGAAGCAAACGATACGTGTCACTCGAACAAATATAAGTATGCATGAATACGAAACCGTCGTAAATAAGACATGAAGACGAGGTTACTGTAGATTAAACATGAAGGAAGGGTTACAAGAAGAAGTCAAAATGCAGTCAGCGTTCATTCCCAGAATTCAGAAACTGAGCCTCAGATGCCCTACTGAAGTCACAAGGAGAAGACGTGTCGTTCGTGGGCACCGAATTGCTGCCTCCAGCCACCAGTTGAGCTGTCACGATGAGCTGCCCCGTATTGTGATTGATCCATACCTAGGTAATTGATGCTCAACCTTCTCTTGAGAAATCATCTTAGCTATCAAAAATAACTTGAAGAGTTAGTTTGTTGAACTTCAGTAGGTATCAAAAAACAAGTGTTCTGTTCCAATAATAGTTCAAAGTTGTTCAAATAAGCCGCTAGGACGGCCATATGCCAGATCCTGAAAGTCTGGAAAAGCGTTTAGCGGTTGTCTACTCATTAAGTCGCAAACGAAGGTTAATATTACGCTACTAACTACGCATTTCATACAAACCTAAAGAAACTCAGTCGAAAAATTCTGTTTTGAATCATGCAGGATTACAGTCACGCGCGAAACCTGTATACATTGTAGTCTACGATTGAGTAAAAAAAGTAACATTTAATGTTAATAAATAAAATAAGAAGCATGTTGAAGACATCAGTAACAATATAATTTCTTTATCTACCATAGGCAAAAATCATATTCATCACTTGACTCTAGATTACTTCAAGTGACAACGCCTCGTACCTGCTCGTGCCCAAACGATGCTTTGATCGCCTGCTGCTGCGACGCGAATATTAGATCCACGTCTTGCCGATCGAGCATCTGGCAGCCGCTGCAATCCTGGCTATGGCTACTGGTTGTCGTGCCTCTGGCAGGCGTGCTTGTGCCTCTGGCAGGCGTACCCGCACCTCTGGCAGCTGTGCCTACGCCTCTGGCAGGAGTGGTTGTGCTGCCAGTGGATGTCTTCAAATCAATGGCAGCTTCAGTAGGGTGGGCGCTGTCATCTATAACATGCAGCGCCTGAGATTTATCGTTTAGTGAGGTCGGCGATATGGTGCAGGGTGGATGTATCTGAGTAATTAACGGTTCAGGGCAGCGCCAGCCGGCATCTTGGCCGCTTTGCTTCCCCCCGAGCTGCACACAGCAGCGGCAGTGGTTTGCCCTCGGCTTGAGGCAACAACTTGACGCGGAGGGAGCCAAGGCAGCCCCACCCTCTTCCTGTCCAGTAATGCAACCGATTGACTCAGAGGGAGGAGCGGACATGTCAGCCACGTGGCTGACGGCTGGCAAGTAACTGGCGGAGTGGCTGGGACTGGGCCGACCATCTGAGCCACAATATACAAAGCCAGTGGCTGATGGCGACGGGTTGACAGATGAGCCCGCGCCGCGATGGTTCTGTCAACCACACCACAAATAAACCCATCAAAAGTGACACCGTCTGTTACACAAAAGACAGACGCATCCATTGAGGCGCATTTCATACCAGACGCCAGCGCCGCTCGGTCGCTGACTCGGACGACACCACAATTAAGATTACATTCAATTAACCATTATTGATAGTGCTGACAATATTCGCGATTAGTATGACCCAGTAATTTACCACCGACACCGAGTGATGCTCGTGGCGTGAGGGATGGAATGGGGACATTTTTTGCACACCCAACAATGAAAAAAATTGCCCCACGAATGATCTGAGAACTGAAATCTCAAAAAACGACGACTAAATGAGTGATATACGACGTACGATACACCCACATATACATAAATAAATATTCAAGTATATCAATTCAACCAAACCAACAATAATAAATTTAAACGTTGACCCCCCAACATTACTATTAAGGTTTAGACGCACAATAATTCTCAACTCACCCCATGCAGCAGCACTCACCCCATGCAGTAGCACTCACTCCATGCAGCAGCACTCACCCCATGCAGCAGCACTCACTCCATGCAGCTGCACTCACCCTATGCAGCAGCACTCAACCCATGCAGACTGCACAAATGTTATGAATCAGACGTCTGCACAAATGTTATGAATCAGACGTCTACACAAATGTTATGAATCAGACGTCTGCACAAATGGCAGTTGTTTAGTACCTGCAAGAATGCTAGTGGTTTAAACGCCTGAAAGAATGTTATATCTTAACTGCCTGCACAGTTTACATTATAACATTTTTGAACAAATCTTCTAGCACTCTCTCAAGCCAAATTTTACTCAACTGGATATCGTATCAAGACTAACTACACAATTAGAACAAAGAACACAAATCCCTAAACTAAGTACACAATTTGTTTATTAAAAATCCTTAAACTGTACGAAGATAACTAATTACTAAGAATCTAATCAAACGCCATCCTCCAGGACCTTATGTCATACTAAAAATACACTACCGAAATAATTAAAACAAGTAAAAATTATTTATAGAACATTTGCCTGCAGTCGGAATTTAAGCCGAGCAAAGAAATCGTGAAATCATTAAATGAAATTGCATAACAAATTAGAGAAAGAAATACATATTTATATATAAACATGGCAGAGCCCTGATGGCACGCAGCACCTGCGGCAGGAGGTGGAAGGCGGCGCTGGCGGCCAGAGAGCCCACGGCGAGACCTATGAGTGACGTCATCATCTGCTGGTAGATTTGGCGCGCCATGAAGGGCAGCACCGACACCCCCACCAGGGAGCAGCCTGAGATCAGCGTCACGAACAGCAGACCCCAGCACCAGACTGCACAAAGCTTGCTCATGTCAACTCTCATAACGACAAATGATCACCTATGTAGGTTATATGTATTGAAAATGATATATTTACTCATAGGCTCATTTGTCAAGTAAAAACGAATCGCATAAAGAAAGTCACTTATGTTGATTAAAATAAATTTGTTATTCATAGTCGAAGTTTCTCCACGGTTGGGGGCAAAAAAAAAATATTTTTTAGATAAATGTTGACATTTTTCTAGATCATTTATTTGTACTTTAAAAAGTTTAAAACGTATAAATTTTCAGTTTTTTTTAATAGTTTTAAACCATAGCAAACATTTTGAATTGTAGAAATGCTTCAACGAGTCATATTCGCGAAATCCTGAGGCAATAATGTGGATCATAATTAATGATCACTCACTCTCAGCCTGTGAGGGTTTCTTCCTCCCCGGGAAGTCGGTGGTAAACGACTCATTACCGCTCGCCGTCACCACGTATGACGACTCGTCTGCATCCGCATAACCAGCAGCTCGTCCTTTGCGGCACTGACGAGTCTGGGCGAGCACAACCGCCAGCAGCCCACCATCAAGCTCAGCTCCGTCAACCGCAACAGATGAGTCAACGGCCGCCTTGTGGGATACGGTGGTGTTGCTAGAGGTGCGCAGTGCGTCCTCATACAGCTGGTCGAGCTCAGATTCAGTCAAACACTGCACAGGTACGTCAGAGGTTAATGTTATCACAATGTTGACATCAGGGATAACAATATTTCTGCCTTATTGTAGCGATTTACACCATGACGCCCTCGTGTTTAAAATTACATCGCGATTCTTCATGAGCAAGTTCTTCTGACATGGAGGACTACACTTTGACGATCTTCTGACTTTTAATGCTGTGCCTTTAACTCTGACTGTGACGACCGCTTCGGTACTGTTCCGAAACCGATCGGCCATCTCGGATAATTTGGCAATCTTGGTTTGAATCTGAAGGTGGTCGGAGTAAACGTACGTCACCTGGCTCCATTTTGATCTAGATTTTTTTTCGGGCTGCTCACGTAGCTTGCTTGACGCAAGCTACGTGGATGTAAGCGTGTTTTTGACCGGAGACTATATTGTGGTTTTCATTTTGGCGTTCGCTATATTCAGCTTCGAGCTGAATGTAGACCATCCGACTCTACCTTAAATCTTACTGTGGGCGACGTTACTATTCCGATACCGATCGGTCATCTTGGTTTGTTCGGCCATCTTGGCTTGATCTGCCATCTTGGCCAGATCAGCCATCTTGGTTTGAATCTGAAGGTAGCTGGAGCAGGCGTGTCGCCAGGCTCAGTCTTCGTCCCGATTTTTCTTGCTACTCACGTAGCTTGCTTGACACAAACTACGTAGAAGTGTGTTTTTGACTGGGAGGAATATATTGTGAGTATTCGTTTTGGCGTTCTCTCTATTCAGTTTTGAGCTGACTGTAGACGTGCAGCGAAGCGACTGCTCGGCCTGCGGTCAGCTGCTGCAGCCCTTGATTCATTCGTCTGTGAGAGAGTAGATTTACTCGTCGTGCCGTCCCACACGCCTCGCATGTCTTATCGTGGATGCCGTGTCGGCCAAAATATGCGTGATGCTGCCACCAATCGAGCAGTGCGCGACAACGGCGTATTAATCATCAGTGGCAATAGGCCGATGCTGCGCATCGATGCTGCTGCTGAGCATCGACCGTTGTCGACCCGTGGGCCTCAGAACCTGCTTAGCGTTCGTGTTTATCGCCACTGTGGGCAGCCGTGTCGCCGGTTATCTTTCCGCTGCCTCAACATCCGTTCGCCGAATAACAAGATTGACGAGTTTCTTCATATCATTAGCTCGAGCTTACTAGATGTCGTCTTCCTGACCGTGACCCGGCACGACGCTGACTCGGTTTGCTCGCGCGTCTTCGCGCTGAAAGACTCCAGGTAGTCGAGCGCGCGCGGCACCGCATGCAACCCGACATCCTGGTGACGAATTACGGTGGAGTAGCTATACTGCCGCCAGCAGGAGCGTACACCTTACCATTCTCGACATCGGCGTATCACCCACAACCTTTCAGCTGCCATGTGCTAGGGTCGCCTGCTCATAAGACCGCGGCAAAATTGCGGCACTTGACCTGTCGGTCGCTTTTGACACGGTCGACCACGCCACTTTATTGCGTCGACTTGACGTATCATTCGACCGCGGCAAAGTGCTGCGGTGGATCGAGTCCTATCGCAAGAAAATATTCCAATGCTTTCGACGCGGGAACATTTCTTCTACGCCATCGTTGGTCACTTGCGGCGTATCACAGGGATCAGTTCTCGACCCGATCCTTTGCCTGGTATATACTGTCGACGTGTTGGACATAATCTTTCACATGGTTTGAATCCGCATATGTTCACCGACGACACCCAAATTTATTGTTACTGTGTGCCGGCTGACGCTGCTGCGTTGCAGGACCGGATGTCTTCCTGCATGGAAGCCATCTCAGACGGGATGCGCTCCAACAGGCACCAGCTCAATGCATCCAAAATCGACTTGATTTGACTTGCGACTGCTCGGCACTAACATCGGCTTCTGGCCAACCTTGTTCGCGTGGGCAACGAGTTCGTCATGCCTGCGTCTTCGGTTCGTAACCTGAGCGTTTTGCTGGGTTCGGAACTTTCTATGAACAATCACATTGCCCAAGTCACCACCGCTTGTTTTGGCGCTCTGCCTCGAATGCGCATAAACGTCAGTTGCTGTCTCTCGAGGCCGGTCCTCAAGGCCCTCACGGTGGCGCTCGTTCTGACCAGATTGGACTGTGGTAATGCCAAACTCTATGGACTTCCGAACACGACACTGAATAAACTGCAATCCGTCATGAACGTTGCTGCGCGACTTTTGTGCAAAGAACGAAAATTGACCACGTGACGTCAATGTAGAGCGGTCTTCACTGGCTGCGCATGCAGCAGCCGAAGCCAGCACGGTCTGGCACATCCTTATCTCACGGAATTTCTGCGGCGTGCGTCGGATCTGCTTTCTGCGAGACAACTGTTTTCGTCAACAGCGGACATCGTCGTTCCATCTACACGTCTATCTACCGTCGTCGACAGAGCGTTCCGGTCGCCGTCGCCAGAAAATGGAACAGTCGGCCGGTTTTCGCAACATCGGCTCCTTCGTTGCAGGTGTTTCGTCGACGCCTACAGACAGATCTATTTCGAAGAGCCTAAGAAACAAGTGCTTAGTAATTTTTATCCGTTCTATGCCTTTCGCATATCTATTTTTCGCTCGATATTATACTTATGGTAACGTGCCCTTGAAGTTCGTTCGAACCAGACGCTGCAATAACTGCTTTGTAAAATAATAATAATCTTAATAGGTAAAGATGCAATGAGGATTATTAGGAGGTGCTACAATGAGCAAAGGTTCGTTAAAACTCCCTCGGTCTCCTAGACATTGTTGAGTTCACAGATGTCTTCCCAAAAATAATTTAAAAGCAACTTTGAATGATCAACATTGCCATATTAATGAAAGAATTATGACACTTTCTTGTAACACATTCGTTTTTAAACAGAAATATTAATCTCATGAGATGAATTGAAATTTGATGATAAATACTCATTTTTATGCTATTAGGACAAAATTTGAAAAGAGCAATTCTTTAATACATAAAGATAATGGTTTTTAAATCAATTGATCACAGGGCAAACTGACTCTTTGGAAGGCATGGCAAATAAGCGTAGAGTTGCTGTCTGTGCTGCAGTGGTTGACTGCAGAGTCAGGAGGGCAGTGTAGCTCTGCTGTATAGCACTGCACTAGCCACTGCAGCTCTTGAACTGTCAGTGTAGTTCCACTGGATGAAAACTGTTGTACACTGCAAGGCAGAGCAGACAATGCAAGCAATACAAAACAGAGCAATACAAAACAGAGCAGACACTGCAAACAATGCAAAGCAAAGTTGATGCAGTACCTATACACTGCACAGAAGAACAGACACAGCAGAGCTGAAGCAAAAAATAATGCTGTATAGCAGAGCACAGAGTAATGCCATAGCAGAGTAATGCTGTAACAGAGTACACAGTGCAGCAGAACGCTGCACAGCAGAGTACACACTACATTCACTGTACAGCAGAGCAAACACTGCACAGCAGAGCACACACGGCACAGCAGAACACACTCACGATGCCACCAAAGAGAGACATTGTAGAGCATTCAAGACCATCCAGAACTGTGAAAACACACAGCACACACTATGAACAGCACATACACAGCACAGTGTATGCATGTGAACAGCACATGCCCTGCACAGTGCACAGACAGCACAATATCAACACTACAAAGAAAACATCCTGAATATCAGTAGCAAAGCTATTAAAATTTTGAAACAGACTGAAGAAACATACATAAAAAATAAGCTAGTATCCTCACATCTGGTCTGGACTTGGGAGTTCAAGCTGAATTTATTTGCACAATTTTTGCTAGGAACAAGCTCATGACTGCAAAATAAGTTAAAGCAAACTTTCATGGAAAAATGGACTGAAAAAGGAATTTGGTAGAAAGAACAAGGGGAAATGGTCTGTGTTAAAAGGAGAATTTTAGAATCCAGACCAATTCTCTTCAACCTCTCAGCTCCTATAGGAAATTATTCATAGACTTTTGGAAGTAGAGGCTTCAGTGCAAACTTTGGACAAGTTTACTATGAAATTGATTAAAGTTACAGTGAAACTTGTTTCAAACCTATTGAATGCCATCACAAGGATATATTATTGTTATCATTGTCCTCTGTTCCTACAGTTGTTTACATAGTCCTATATTTGATTACATACCTATTTTCATTAAAATTAAATAGCACTTACAGAAAGGCAAGGGCAGGGTCCACAGCCTTGTTTCCAACTGAGTGAGCCAAGTGTGGGTGCAATCCAGTTGTGTATGCTCGAGTCTCATGTAGCCCACATACCAGCAGCAGTACCACCAACACTTTCACAGTTCTTGCAATCATCCTATATTACTTTAAAGACTCAGCAGCCAATTATAGAATAAAATATTCTCAAAATGTCAAGAATTTTGAGATAAATGAGTTAATTTGAAATTACAAATAAACATACATAATCCATTTTAATTGAAATTTTTAGAATATATTGTTACATTTGTTGGTTATATAGTAGTGACTTTTGTAAAGCTGAGAGCAAAAACTAAAAGTTACATTCTATTCATTCATTTCATTGGAAAGAAGAAATGCATTAATATTTAAGTGGTATTTCAAATAAAGCATGTCAAAATTAGGATCACTTCAGCATGATTATTTCATATTATTCACTATCAGAACTTTTTTCAATATCATTTTTAACAGCAAGGTAGAAGCAAACTTCCCTAGCCAGCTACACAATGCTACTCATAAGAGTTTCTACTCAATGCAGTGATAAATGTATAGGTATGTATGCAGAAAATTTCAAATACACAAGTTTCTTCTTCATGAAATGCCATCAAATGGGGTAATAAGGGATGGGTGGGGTAATAAGGGACAGTCCTACACCATTTTGTAGAAATGCTGTAACAGCTAAACTACTAATTAAAATATTTCAATACAAAAAATAGTTGCATAAAGTTCAAAATTTTTACTATCCATGTAGCATAAAGCAAGTTAAGAAATCATACTTTTACTACCTCTATAAAATTCCTGAAAAAAAGTGTCAAAAGTGAGATTTTGGAAAAGTAACTCTGCTAAGGTCTGTAGCAAAAAAAACTTGCCGTATTAAAAAAATTTACTTACATAAAAGTTGCACACAGCTGTTGGCTTAAAAATGTGATAAACTGAATTTGCGTAGCTCATTCCAAAGAAAAATGGTGGCCATTTTGGCATGATGGGGTAATAAGGGACACCCCACTAGGGTAATAAGGGACACTCCTAAAATGCATTTACAGTAGAACCTTGGTTAACAAAGGCTCCTTTTAAAAAAATCAATTAATAACAAAGAATTCTGATTACATTTAACTTGCTCAGCAAAATTGTGCATCAGACAACATAAAATAAGAAGTAATTAACCTAAAAATTATTTCTTTCTCCAAAAAATATGATGGTTGTCACTAAAAAAATCCTTTCTGTTTCAGGTATGTTTTTATGATTTTTTTTAGTGAACTCGCTTGAAGCAATCAAAATGGCGCAAATTTACAAGCTGTCCTGTAAGCTTGCAGATACAAAAGAAATGCTATATGGCTGCTGATATGAAGCTTGCCCCTAAATTACCCCGTTCTCAGGGGTAATTCAAGAGGCTTTTACTTTGCGTGTGGCACCTTGCCAATAGCATGTGAAATTTTTCGTAGATACTATACAATAGCCCTTGCAAAGAGCTTTAAAATGAGCCCTAACTTATTTATGAAATGTTTCATGGTGAGACATTATCAAAAAAAAAAGCTCAAAACCATCCCTTATTACCCCTTTTGATGGTACTTACCAAGTCACATGTCACATAAAACAGAACAATATTTAATAGGTACAGGTCAGTCAGAACTACAATTTTTAGGGTTCAATTACCACATAATGACTGCAGGGCTCTTGTGACTGTGATAGAAATTAGAACATAAAGATATGGTTGTTTTGTTCTGTTTACATAATAGAGAGTTCCTATTGAACTGAAAGTGAGAGCCTTTAACTGGAGTGCTTTGGCAATTGATAACATTAGTGCCAAACTGCCAGTAGCTGCTGAGTGACATTGATGGCAGAAAAGACTAGGTAAATGTACAGGAATATAGTGCAATATGCATTAAATTAAATAAAATCTTTCCTAAAAATCTGGTACCGTCAAACGGGGTAATAAGGGATGGTTTTGAGAGTTTTTTGTTAATAACTTCTTACTATGAAACATTTTATAAACAAGTTTAGGCTCATTTTGAAGATCTTTGCAAGGGTTATCGATTGGCTTTTCCAAAAAAAATCTATATGCTATTCGTAAGGTGTCAGACACAAATTAAAGCGTCCCAAATTACCCCTGGGAATGAGGTAATCTGGGACACTTGCAATAAAATTTAATTTTAAAACGTTTGAAGCAAGCAAAGTGTACTCATCTATTACTAACAGTACTCTGAAGTCCTCCTCTTTCTTTGTAGATTATGTAGATGTAGAATAAATGACATTTTCTGTGATTTTTACTTGTTTTTACTTTATTTATACGTTACCATATCCATACATCATGGTATTATTGATGTGATATTACTGTATCCATGGACATGCCATTGTCCATTTACAACAACCTTGTCCACTGCGAGCTTCATATCAGCAGCTGTATAGCATTTCTTCTGTATCTGTAAGCTTACAGGACAGCTTGTAAATTCACACCATTTTAATTATTTCAAGTGAATTCACATTAACAAAAAAAATCATATAAACATACCTGAAACAGAAAGAAATATTTTAGTAACAACCATCATATTTTTTGGAGAAATAAATCCTATTTTAGGTTAATTACTTTTTATTTTATGTTTGTCAGTGCCTCAGTGCACAATTTTGCTAAGCAAGGTACGGTAAATGTAATTAAAATTATTTGTTTTCAATTTATTTTTTCATCAACTTAAGCCTTTGCCAAACCAAGTTTCTACTGTAAATGCGTTTTTAGTGGTGTCCTTTATTAACCTGAGGGGGGGGGGGTGTTCCTTATTACCCTTGCAGAAAAATCCGGCATTTTTTGGGGGAGTTATGAGATTCATAAATTCAATCAATCATGTTTTTAAGCCAACCCAACACCTATGTGCAACTTTTATGAAAGTAAAATTTTTTAATACAGTGAATATTTTTGTTTTCTTACAGACCTTACATCTTAGCTGCTTACTGCTTAGCAGAGGCACTTTTCCAAAATCCCACTTTTCGCACTTTTTTCCAGGGATTTTATAGAGGTATTAAATGTATGAATTCTTAACTTGCTTGATTAATGGCTCTAATGCTAGCCTACATAGATAGTAAAAATGTTGAACTTTACGCAACTATTTTTAGTATTGCAATATTTTGATTAGTTTAGCTGCTACAACATTTCTTTGAAATGTGGGACAACTGTCCCAATTTACCCAGCCAATTCCTTATTACCCTGTTTGACGGTATATACCAATACCAGCTAACAGCTGTAACCAGTACTGAGACTGACTACTAGTACTGGTGTAGGCCTAATGAGATATTGAGTGTACTGTATAATCATTTGGATGATTTCTATGAAAATAAAAAATCCTCTTAAAATAAGATAATTTAAGACAATTTTGATAAAGAACTAGAGTTACTTTACTCAGTTGACTGCTCAACAGTTAGAATTTTTGTTTCTCATGAATTGTTTGAAATTTGAACACTTAAATTGAAAACATGATGACTGATGAATAAGCAGCAAATGCTTAGAAATGAACAGAGCTGGGCAGCGCGACATTGAAATGTAGCGCCGCTACTGCTACTGCTACATGCTCTAAATGTAGCAGGCGGCATGCGCTACCGCTACAATCACTAAATTGTAGTGGGCGCTACCGCTACAGCAAAATGTAGCACCGCTACAATGGCCAAAATAATTGGAAATTTCTAAATATTTATTGTTCTGCTATTGGGGTTTACTCATAAACATTTTATGATAATTAAACATTTTCATAACATATCAATGTAACTTTATTGCAATTAACCTAACCAAACTAGTACTGGTTAGAATTTAGATACAGTAAATACTAAATAAAAGTTGGTTATTTACTTTTTATGTTTTACCTTCCCTACAGGGATGTCTACTCTAATCTACCAATCTCAAAAATTATCACATACCTATACATATAAAAAATCAGTCTTTTATTTAAAAAATCCTCTTAAAATAAGATAATTTAAGACAATTTTGATAAAGAACTAGAGTTACTTTACTTAGTTGACTGCTCAAAATTTAGAATTTTTGTTTCTCATGAATTGTTTGAAATTTGAACACTTAAATTGAAAACATGATGACTGATGAATAAGCAGCAAACGCTTAGAAATGAACAGAGCTGGGCAGCGCGACATTGAAATGTAGCGCCGCTACTGCTACTGCTACATGCTCTAAATGTAGCAGGCGGCATGCGCTACCGCTACAATCACTAAATTGTAGTGGGCGCTACCGCTACAGCAAAATGTAGCACCGCTACAATGGCCAAAATAATTGGAAATTTCTAAATATTTATTGTTCTGCTATTGGGGTTTACTCATAAACATTTTATGATAATTAAACATTTTCATAACATATCAATGTAACTTTATTGCAATTAACCTAACCAAACTAGTACTGGTTAGAATTTAGATACAGTAAATACTAAATAAAAGTTGGTTATTTACTTTTTATGTTTTACCTTCCCTACAGGGATGTCTACTCTAATCTACCAATCTCAAAAATTATCACATACCTATACATATAAAAAATCAGTCTTTTATTTGTATACATATGTGGATTATTTTTTAGATTGGTAGATTAAAGTAGACATCCATGTAGGGAAGGTGAAACATAAAAATAACTGTGTAAAAATAACTGTGAGCAAACTGAAACATTGAAAAATGCCTATAAGTGGTAATTGGTAACAACTTAACAAGTAACAAGCTAACAACTAGGCTAGCCTGGCTAGCTAACATGTTGACACTAGTAACAGGCTGAGGTTGACAACATCACACCAAAATCTTTCATACAGTTTTATTCTGTAATTTACTTATGTATGTTATAGTATGTAGGTAATATGTAGGTAATCATGCTGGTTTTTAAACAATATTTTCAAGTAAAATATAAAGGCTTTATCAATAAATGTAGCGGTAGCGGCAAAACCTCCTATCGCTACTTAATTAGGTAGCGGGCGCTACCGCAACCGCTACAATTGCTTAAATGTAGCGCCGCTACCGCTACTGAAAATCATAAAAAGTAGCGGCCGCTACATGTAGCGCGCTTCGCGCTACTGCCCAGCTCTGGAAATTAATACATATGATTGAATTATATACATATACTACTAACTACTTCAACCATTTGATGATGTGAATACCCACCTGCAGTAAGAACGCGGCTTATAATAATATATCCCTACCGCCCGGCATTTACAAGACCAACTGCCAA